TATTTCTGGGGGCTACCTTTCTCCCATACTCCTGAAGAATTTGGATGACGACTGGTTAGTTCTAGGGAATCAAAGAACCACAAAACTTTATTTTAAAACTGTTTCCTTAGAAGTTGACAAAGGAGGGGCACATGCCCTTTTGGACAGACTCCACGTGGCTGGGGGACCCTTTGCCATAGACGTTAACCTGCACACCTGACACACAAGGGTACCCTTGGACAATAAACCCATCAGTTATCTGCCAGTTTCTGTTGCTGAAAGACTGAAAAGAACCAAGTGACCTGTTTTGGTGCTTACTGGGAATCACTAACAATGAAGCTCATATTTCTAGCTGTGAGCACTTGTTTAGTCTGAACATTGAGGATTCTGCCTCAGTGATCTGTCTGGGCACCTAGTGAGCCATGGTGCGTGTGTGAGTACACTCAGCTGTGATACCTGCTTGTGGTACTTAGCAATGGTCACTCTAAGCCAATGATCCTTGCCAGTGGTCAGGATTCAGCTACTGCAGTTGAGAAATCTCAGGACCAGATTAATCACAAAATCACAGATTCTGTTTTATTTATTTATGGGCGATTTATCTGTTACAATCAATTCCCTGTAAAATTCTAGTTCCTAAATTGTCTGAATTACTTTATGCATATGTTGACAAAGAATCTAGATGTCACATAGAATAAGTATATATGAGGAGTTTTTAAAAAAAATTGTGGTAAAATACACATATACCATAAAACTTACTGTTTTAAACATTTGTAACTGTACAATATAATAGTATTGGCTTTTTATAATGTGTTAAAAGCAACCCCACTGTCTACTTCTTGATATTTTTTAATCATCCCAAAAAGAAACTGTGCCCACTACACATCAAATCCTCAGATTCCTCTCACCCTGCTCCAGTTTCAGGCCCTGTGAATTTGCCTGTTCTGGGTCATTCGTGTGAGAGAAATCCTATAATGTTTTTTCTCTCGTGTTGCCTCATTTTACTTAACATGCAGTGTTCAGAGCTTATTCATGTTAGATCATGTGCCAGAATTTCCTTCATCCTGTGTGTATACCACCCCTTATTCATTGGCTGATAGACATTGCTTTGTTTCCATCTTTTCGGCTACTATGAGTATTCCTGCTGGGATCATGGATGTGCACATAACTGTCTCAACCATGCTGTCTGTGCATTTGAAAGTTCTTTTGGCTGTGTAGCTAGGAGTGAAGTTGTTGAACTGTAAAATCATTTTCTCAGTTCTTACAGAACTACTATATTGTTGTACCATTTTACATTGTTGCCAGCAATGGATGAGAAATAATTTCTCTACATTCTAACAGTATTTGTTGTTTTTTCTTCTTAATTCTGCTTCCGATTTGCATTTCTCTAATCACTTGAAATGTTGAGCACATGAAGGTTTTTTTCTCTCTCTTTTAAGTTTATTGATTCTTATTTATTTGAAAGGCAAAGCAACACACGGAGAGACAGAGTCAGAGAGATCTTCCATCGGCTGGCTTGGTTTGCAGATCTCTGCAATAGCAGGAGATGGACCAGGCTGAAGCCAGCACCTGGGAGCTTTATCTGAATCTCTCACGTGGTTGATGTAGACTTGGGTCATCACCTGCTGCCTCCCGGAGTACATGTAAACAGGATTGAAAGCAGAGGCAGGACTCTAGTCTAGGTACTGGGATGTGGGATATAGGCAGTCCAAGCCGTGATTTCCACTGTAACACAAAGTCCACTCCCATGAAGCATGCTGATTATTCCTGGTAAAATATCAAGTTGCCATGGCCTTACAAAGTAAGTCTGCAACAAAAATGCAGAGTTCCTTGTCAGGCCTTCTGTGATCCAATCCCACCTTCGCTTACCCGCAGACACTGGCACCAGTGTTAGGCTGAATGAAGTACAGGCCCATAGGCTGCCCTAGGGGCTGCTGCTCCCTGCGGGTTCAGAAGAGGAAAATGGGCTCTGCTCTAACCAGCAGACCACTACAGAATGTTTTCTTGCTATATTTGTAACAAATTCATATTGTATCTAAAATGATTATGTTTGTTTATATTGTATTAATTTTTAGTTTTCTCAGAAAAAAGCAGGCTTTTAATCCAAAGATATGAAAAAATGCATAATCATTAAGTAATTAGCAATTTTGTAAAAGTATTATCATGGAACATTTGCTTATCTTTATGGTTTTATTAGCAGTACCTCAGGTTCTGCCCTCTTAAGTAATGTGTGAACATCAGAGTGACCAACACAAACCTCCATGATGCACCTAAGCCACTCCATGTGGCTTCTAGAGGCAGTCAACATATGCAGTCAAATACAGGCTATACAAGGTATTTCAGAAAAGTTGATGAAAGTGAAGTTAAGGCAAGTTTATTTTTCCACAAACTTTGTGAAATATCCTCTTACGAGAGAGCTGCCAGCCTAAAACAGCATACTGGTTTACAGTAAGATATTTTTCCCTGTAGATAGGAGTACCCCTTACTTCAAATAACAGTAAAAATGTAATATGGTAACTTTATAAGCCAGTAATACAGTTATTTATTATCATTATAAAATATCATTAACTGTGCCTAGTTGTATATACCATATTTTAAGATAACCAGCATTGCAGTAGATGTGTCTATATCACAAATATGAGTATTCTACTATGAAATGTGTCTATCATCATATACGTTATTGCACTCTGTAACGTGTATGCCATTATGGTTGTCACTTCACTAGGGAGAAAAAAAGGAATGTTTCAGTTTTATTACTATCTTACAGGACCACCTTCATCCATCTCAAATGTATTTTGCTGTACAATATAGGTAGGGATGGGTTTTAATTTTTTTTTTCAAATAGTTTTTTCAACATCACTTCCTGAATAGTTTACTCCCACTGTTTTTAAATGTCTCTCTAATCACATACTATATTCTTATACATTTTTTTAAGATTTATTTATTTATTGGAAAGTCAGATATACAGAGAGGAGGAGAGGCAGAGAAGAACAAGTTCTGTCCTATGATTCACTCCCCAAGTGAGCGCAACGGCCGATGCTATGCCGATCTGAAGCTCGGATCCAGGAACTTCTTCCGAGTATCCCACATGGGTACAGGGTCCCAAAGCTTTGGGCCGTCCTCGACTGCTTTCACAGGCCACAAGCAGGGTGCTGGATGAGAAGTGGAGCTGCTGGGATTAGAACCGGCACCCATATGGGATCCCGGCGGGTTCAAGGTAAGGACTTTAGCCACTAGGCCATGCCACCGGACCCATCTTATACATTTTGATAAGATCTGTTTCTGACCTCTGTAATGTTCCATTGCATTGATACCTGTACTTTTTCATTTTGATCTTTTCAGCTAAACTAATTTACTTTCTACCATTAGTGTCTTGTCTTTGCGAGGAATTTGAAAATGAAATACCTGCTATTAGTTATTCATTTTTGTTTCTCTGTTTTCCTGAAAACTCCCAAAAAAAGAATTTCAGAGTATTATCTCTTTTGTAACATCAAGAGATAAATACTTTAAAGCACTGTACCCATTCCTGTATTGATCCATTGGCTTGTTAATGATTAGCTAAGCATATGTAAAGCTGCATGGATGGCAGGGTCCTGTCCTGTTCATCTTTTTACATTCTGTAGAAACAGACACACAGTCTACGGCCATACCACCCTGAACGTGCCCGATCTCATCTGATCTCGGGAGCTAAGCAGGGTCGGGCCTGGTTAGTACTTGGATGGGAGAAACAGACACACATTCTGAGTCAATTTCATAGGAATTGAACGAATTTGAATCATTTAATTTTATGCTTGTGTCAGGCATGCTCCAAAAAGTCTACTTAACTAGTATTTTGCTCAATGATTTTCAGCATTAGCCTTGAGAATCTCTGAACCCTGCATTTTTCTGTCTCAGCCCCTGACCTGATTCCTGTCTTTTCCAATCTAACCATTGGCAGCCCAAAATAATACGCCGGAGATGACATGGGTAAAAAAATGCTACCCATATTTAATGCTCTGTGTGTTTAAGCCTTAACTCATACTTAAAGGAGGCATTATGATCCTAACTTTGTAGATACAGAAACTGACGTCAGAAAGATGAAATAATTTGCAGGATAGCCTGCCACAACAGGTCACAAAACCATTGTGACATTGGTCTGGCTTCAGAGGAGAGTCCATCATTGCACTTAGATTTGCTTCAGTGTTTAGCCCACAGTGACATAGGAATGTCAACTTTTCTTGAGTCTTTTTTAGTTTATAGATGAGAGACAGGATTGTTCATGACCTTCAGAAAATTTAAACAAGGTAAATGAGGCTCAGAGAATTTTCTAGAATCATGAGTCCTAAACTGTAGCCTGCCTTTTGTGGGTGCAGCATGACTATGTCCTGTCACTTCATACAGCTTCTGTCTAACTGTCGACATAGCCTCTTTGTAAAGAAAAATAAAAAGACATTGCTTCTTCAGACAAAAATGTTTGTGTAGCAATTTGAGAATGAATATTGGATCCAAGCTATCTGACAAAGGGAGAATCCTAAGAGTGGAAGTCAGAAAGAATCCACTCATGCCTTGGTAGCCCCCAGTGGTTCCAGCAGGATTCTCCAAGGACATGTTGAGTTTAACCTAAATTTACATCATGATCGGAGGTGCTTGGACTAATAAAATAGAAGTCACCATGTTTCACATTCTGCCTTCCCTTTCTACTTTTTGCTTTCTGCTTAAGAACAAATAATTAAAAACAGACATATCTCTTGGGAATTATGGAATGTGCATGGCTATGAATGAAGAAACCTATGGGAAGATGCCAGAAGCACGTTCTATCATTGTTCTAGTAGAACAGCAATCTACTCTTTGTTGGATGCACCCCAGTTTTCTTTTGTTGTTTGGTTTTCTTGTTTGTTTGGTGGGATGGGAATATGTGCAGGGTAGGGCGTGTTCTGTGTGGACGAAGGTTCTTCTTAGCTGTTAAAATGTATGAGTAGGAGGTTGTAGTTGGTGGACGGGTGCCGCCTGCTCCCGTGAGGCCCTGCGCGCAGCAGCGTGAGGGCGCCATGGAGGGCGGCTTCGACTCCGACCTGGGGGCGCTGGCAGTGGGCAGCGGGCAGCTGGACCCGGGGCTCATCATGGAGCAGGCGAAGGTGCAGATCGCCGTGGCCAACGCACAGGAGCTGCTGCAGAGGATGACAGACAAGTGTTTCTGCAAGTGCATCAGGAAGCCCGGGGGCTCGCTTGACAACTCGGAGCAGAAGTGCCTCGCCATGTGCATGGACCGCTACATGGACGCCTGGAACGCCGTGTCGCGCGCATACAACTCGCGGCTGCAGCGGGAGCGTGCCAACATGTGACCTCGGGGGGCTGGGGGCTCTCACCCTGCCTGGAGGGAGGGGCCAATAAAAGACCAGTGGAGAGAGAGAAAAAAAAATGTATGAATAGGAGACAGAGGACCAGCACCTTATGCAAACTGTGCTGTTACTACCAGGCTATTCCTTCAAATGCTTATTCTAAAATTCTTTCCTTTTATTTCCATTTTGTGATCAGCAACAGGAAAGGCTGCTGGAGGCTTGGGCAGAGCCAGAGTGGAGATGTGAAGGGTCTGTTGTTTACAGGAAGCTGAGCAGCTACCATAACCTGGTGCTGGAGCAGGCAAACCTAGGCTGAACGATTCCCTGCTGTAGCGTTGGGAAGGGTACAAAGATGTCCACCTCAATAATCACATCATGTACTTGCCTCCTGTGCACAATAACTCTGTTGCTTTGCTCTTTTAAAGAAATAGGCATTTTGGTTTTTAAAATTGTGATTTTTAAAAAGTCTGCCTTGAGATACAATGTTGTGCCACAGCAAGTCAAGCTTACAACATCAACGTCCCTTATCAAAACATAGGTTTGAGTTATCCCAGCTGCTCCACTTCTGATATCTGTCAGCTAACCTGCCTGTAAAAGTATTAGAAGATGGCCCAAGTTATTGGGCCCCTGTACCCACATGGAAGACCACCCCCCAAAGGAGTTCCGAATTTGAAGTTTAACTTGGCCCAGCCGCTTCCTTGTGACAGTCTAGGGTCTCTCTATTATCTTCTCTTCCATGCCCTCTTTCTCTCACTCTGCCTTTCTAATAGATAAAAATGAATCTTGAAGGGAAAAAAATCTGTCTTAAGTAGAATTGTGGCACAGTGGGTTAAGTTACCACTTGGGTTGCCCACATCCCATATCAAAGTAATAGGATTAAATGGCAGCTACTACTGCTAATGTGCCTGGGAAAGCAGTGAATGATGGCCCAAGTGTTTGACCTTGGCCACACATGTGGGAGATCCAGATAGAATTCCTGGCTTATGGCATTAGCCTTGCACAGCTTTGGGGGAATGAATGAACCCAGCAAATAGAAGACATCTCTCCCCCCCCTATCACTTTGCCTTTTCAAATAAATGTTTAAAAGAAAAAGCAGGCATGGAGGACATGGCAGTCTATCAGAACCTGCAGAGGATACTTGGCATCACAATAGAGAACAGAACAAATCAATCAACTACCCCAGCCGTGTGTTGGCATTGAAAAACTGGGCAAACGGAAACTCTAAGGTGGACTATGTCAATCAATGGATTTTGCAGAACCTCATTGTGCTTGGAATGGCGAGAATGGCAGCAATTCATAACTTTTGAACTATCAAAACCACTTGAGCAGGACCCTCGGAGCATGTCCCACATCAGGGACCTGGAGTAGGTTGGAGACTGGGTGGGGCTTCTCTCTTTATCTCCCCCATTGCCCCATTTACAGGAAAAAAAAAATGTGGAAATAATAGTCTTACCTACTTCCCTGAAGTTTTGTGCCATAAATAACTATGTAAAGATTGTCAAAAATAAAGAAAAAAAAAAGACCTCAAGTCAATTATGGAAAAAAAAAAAAAGAAAGAAAAAACAGGAGAGGACACTGTGGTGTAGTAGATAAAGCTGCCACCTGTGAGGCCAGAATCCCATATGTGTGCTGTTCCATGTTACATGTTCCACTTCCCATCCAGTACCATGCTAATAACCTGGGAAAAGCAGCTGAAGGTGACCCAAGTGCTTAGCCCCCTGCTACCTACTTAGAAGCCCCAAAAATTTCTGGCTTGTGGCTTCAACCTGGTCCAGTGCTAGCCATTGCAGCCATTCAAGGAATAAACCGGTGAATGGAGGTATCTCTGTCTCACCCCTGTTTGTTCTCTCTCTCTCTCTCTCTCTCTCATTTCATATTGTGGTTTTCAAGAAATAAATATTCTGAAAAAGAAAAAGGACTTTCAGGTCAGGAAACCTGTATTTCATCACTTCTTCCATACTATCCTCCCATGTGCACCCAGGTGAAAATGTTTCTTCTCAGGCATTTGGCTCCCTGTCTCACATGCATGGCTGCTGTGTTGCTCTGGGCTTCTGTATTCTCAGCAGCATGAGGGTAAGGCCTGCAGTGGGCAGCAGGCAGAGGTACTGACCTCTCCTGACATGAATTCACATGTGTTCCTCCTCCAGGCCTAGGACAGCCCCAGCCAGCTGGAAGCTGGAGAAAACAGGCGCATAAACCTCCTGGCACTGCTCAAGGCCTGCTGGGGCCAAACTGTGTAACTGTCCTAATTCTCCCAGGGTCTCAGAGCATTTTCATATTAAGTTATTCAAAGGACCCAGAGAACCCAAGTTGATAGTACATGAGGTCAGAGAGCACTCAGAGGTTGGAAGGGAACTGGGAGAATTAAGTAATTATTCGTATGTCCCAAGACTTTGAACAGTTGGTATCCAGAGAAGAAACAGCAGAGCTAACAGTTTCCACCATGGGTGCTGGCTGTGGGAGCTGAGACACTTCCTGCACAGCATGTCTGATATCATTTGAGTAAAATTTAAGCTTGTACAGGGGAACCTTTTGCAAAAGGAAGTTTTTATTTCCACAGGGCTTCATGAAAGGTGTAAAGGGCACACTGTGAATTGGGGATGACACACCCTGTTTTGAATTGGATTTCCTGCAAGTTCTGATTGGAGGCATTCTTCCCGGACTCGGGTGAATTTGGTTCCAGTGTTTGCTTGTAAAACTGAATCCAGTCATTGTATTTGCAGTTTGGCTTCCTGCCTGCTATTAAAGTACAGAGCAAACTTGAGCCAGTAACTCCCTATGATTCTGTGTCCTCCATATAAAGAGCAGGGAAAGGAGAGGGGAAAACCCAAGGGTGACTGAGTTCATTTGCATACCATGCCAGAGGGCAGCTGCTGGCTGCCTTGCCGTCACATGATTCTGTGGAGAATCCTCATGTTCCACTTACTGGAATAGGAGACAGCTGGAGGGGGAAAGGAAAGCTATCTATTCTTCAGGCTTCTAGCCTTTACATTCTCAGCCTAGTACCATGTTTACTTCGATTGGTTAGCCACTATAGGTAAAAATGTGGCAGAGTTTCTGCCTCTCCCCCTTTGCAAAGTATTGTGGATGAAGAGAGTGCCTCTAAAGAGAAGTCCCAGCAGAATGGTGATTCCTTCGCTGTAGACCTGATTGTGCCCTTTGCATTCTCCTGGAGAGCGCACTGGGTCCTGGACATGACTGCCATGATCCGTGGGGAAGCTCAGTGGGACTCACCCTTCTATCTGGAGTCAGGAGAGATAATACAGTCTACACATTGTGGCTCCAGAGCTGCCACACTGCAACACTTGCACAACTCAGCAGGGAGGAGAGACTCACTCTTCCCAAAGTGAAGAGGTCCAGAATGGAGCCACATGCTGACAGTGCCCACCCCAACACCCCCCACTGCCCAGCACACACACTTCAAACTTAGCCTTTCTGAATTTGAGGGAAAAATGAAGGGAAGGATGGATTCTTTTTCTTCAGACTTTGTTTTATATAATTGCAGGAAATTTAAGTGCTTCATTAAATAAAGATCAATAAATTTGGAGTTTGCTCTTAATAAGTCCTCCTACCTTATCATTCCTTGCTAGGTGCTAAAAGAGTCAAGACACAGATTTTGATCACAGGAAGCCTTTGATCTTTCCTGGTCTAGAGGCCTGAAAAGCAACTCTAATATCATGACAGTCCATGAGCAAAAAGAAGTGATTGCCAGCTTCTTGGTTGTTTTTTGGAGATGACATAACCAGGTAGCTGGTATACAGAGGAATCCAGTGTACCAAAGGAAGGAGCTATTGATTCAGCTCACAAAGGTGACTACAGAGTGCTGTAGGACTGGTGGCAACTGGCCATCCAAAAACACTTACCAAGACTGTGTCCAAAGGGTCCAGATCAAATGGTCACATGCAGGCATTCTGACTTCTGTTTTCTGATCTGGTGCATAAGGAATTTGGAAGTCATCACTCTCACCTCTACAAGGAAAAGGAAAATGAATACTTCCTAGTGAATTGAGATCATGGAGCAAACCACTGTCCCCTAAATTAGAGCTATAAACAGGTGCATACAGAGAACTACAGCTTCCCGGATCAAAAGACTGGGAACAAAAAATACCCATTAGAACCAGCACTGCAGTAAGACAACTTAAATTTGAAGAGAAGCCTAAGAGTGAAAACCTGGGGCACCTGGTCTTGAGGAAAAGGAATAGCTTTTCATGATTTTGCCTTTCACAGTACTTCCATGTTCTCACAGTGAAATCAAGAAAAAGACTTTTTCCCGACAGGGAGAGGTAAAAATAGCCATTTTCAAGTATGCTTGAGCATTTTGTTCTTAACAAGGCCTGCCCTCAAAAGAAGCTGTTTTGCCTGAATCTAACTTAGCAGAGTTAGATTCAACAGCTAACCTGGCAGTTAGGGAAAAACCCACTTGCAAATCTTCCCAACATTGCTGTCTCGCCAAAAAGGAGAAAAAAAGCAAAAGACTATCATATCCCACAAAATGGCATTTTTGTCAGTGGACCACATGTGCAACAGTGATCCCCTAAAATTATATGACTTAATGATAGCATAGCCATCTCATTGTGAGTACATTCCATTACATTCACACAATGATGAATTTCTCAGAACGTATCCCCCTCCACAAACAAGGGACCCCAGTACTTGTGAGGATCACAGCCTAGAGGCACAAGTTCACTCACAAGGTCTAATCTAAGGTCTCCCCACAACACGTATATCCTCTCCCACTGTGTCAACACAACTTTTATATAGGAACAGAGAAATAAAACTGAAAGAATTATATATCTCAGGTAAAAAGGTTTACCTGTATAACACACAGTGAGAACCCAATACATACTATGAAAAAAACTGAACTTCATCTGGTACTAATGTATTGTGTAAAGGTGTTACACTGAAGCAGGGTGTTAATTATAGGAGATACTGTGTTTGAGATGGTAAGAGGGTCTATAAGGAATTCCTGCATCATGCATGGTGGCTTAACCCATTGTGCCACAATG